TCTGGCCCTGCAGCTGACCCCAGAGCCAGCTGAGGCAGCTGAATTGCCAGCTTGGGGTTGACGTGTTTCAAAGCCACAAGGGGTTCCCGGTGAGTGCTGGCCCCGTGCGCCGACCCAGAGGTGACGTGACAGAAGCTTCCTCAGACGGAAGCCCAGAAGCTGCAGCTGGATTTGAACGGTTGGGGAACCGGGGGGGCGGAGCTTTCTGGGTGGCCCTGTCGCTGTTTCGACAGGAGCGTGGCCAGAGGGCGTTGCCGTACCCGTTAGCTCGGTGCACACATGGCACTGATGGCGTGTCCCAGGGTCTGGCGGGAGGGCGCGGTGAAGGGCTTGCCTGGGCCAGTGGAAATGGGCAGCACAACACAATTAGTGGGCAGGCCGGGGGCCAGCCACCTGCATTTCCCCGCTGCTGGTTGCTGCAAACAGCCCCCCGCACGGCTGCTGTCGGAGGGGAGGGATGGCTGTGCTGGGGCAGGCAGGACAACCCTGCAGAACTCAGTCCACATCGGGCACCTTCCCAAGAGTACGGTGCCCTGCAACTCCAAATGGGCCCTCGGACCTCCCCTGCTGCTTCTCCGCCTTTGCCTTCTACCTGTTAGCAAGCATCCCATTGGTGGAAATGCCTAGCGGCGTGGGACGCTGCGGCAGGGCCCGCCAATCCGAGCCCAGCCGGCCCCTGCTGCCCACGGCTGGGACGTACGTAGAAACACTTTCTCCTGTGGCCGCCGTCCCGTGGGAGGCCAGTGGCAGGATCGGTTGACGTCACCGCAGGAAGTTCATGTGTCCTCTGTATTTCTGCCTCTTGCAGGGCCCTGCTGCTGCTGGCTGCTTCTGTCATAGTAAACCCATTGTATCTGACTCGGGGGGTGGTGCAAATCTGGGTACAGTGAACCTGTCATCCTTTCTCCTCATATGTAACATAACTACGTTTGGGGATTTTTTTTTGGCAACTTCTTTGTTAATGTGTATATATATATAGATAAATATAATATAATATATATCTACGTACTGGCGTGTCTGCGTATGGAGGGGCCACTCCCCCACCTGACAGTCCGGTAATCGCCTCTTCTGACATTGTATTGTTGTACCAGAGGGCACAATGTGGACCAGGCACCCTTGGAACTAAGGAAGGATAAGGGAGTCCAGATTGTAGGGAGGCTAGGGGGCTCCTCCAGCAGTCAGTGTATACTGACACTCGCCGGGGAATTCTCTGGCCCTTTGGCTAATCTCTCCCAGCCCTTTCCGATAAGGTACCTGCCTTCGGAGCCAGAGATGGAGAGGACACGAAAGTCAGTTGTTAGCACCAGAGGCCACAACTTGCCCCCAGAGCAGGGCTCCACTCCTCAGCCGTTTCACACGGAGTCTTGTCAAATCACCTTTGCGCTCTCGTCCCTACTGATCGTCAGTTGGGAATCCAAAGCCACGCAGTCGGCTAGTTCCCGTCGGAGGGAGGGGGAAGGACGCTGCTACACACAGCCAAGGCACCTTCACTAATACAAGGCTCCAGTAGCCAGGTCACAGAGGTAGCCCTGTTTACACACATTAGTGTGTGAAAAGAAATGGGGGCAATAAACTAGCCCATCACAGCTGTGACAGGGTCAGGCCAGAGGGTACAGAAGAGTGGACATCCCATCTCTCCCCTTACGCCCCTTTCTATCGCCTAAGTTCCTTCTCCGGGGCTGGCCCGACTCAGCTGTGGCCTCGCGTCATGTCAGGCCACCAGAGTCATTGCGCGAGCAAACGCTAGTCAGTTCTAGACATCATCTGCCAGGCTGTGAGCAAGGGGGCTGCTGCCCTTCCCAGCCCTGCGTCGTCGTTCAGAGCTCCCGGCCGTGGCCCCGCCTGACCGAGCTGGCTGGGGAGGGCTGCCTGCTTCCCCGCTCCGTGATGGGTGCTTCCTTTTATTGGTGGTGCATGATTCCAGGGGCTGTTTGTGCTGCCATGTGGCGCTCTACACTCCAGCCTCGTTCCCGCACCTTGGCCCTTGCCGCTGTCGCACGTTCCCTGTTCCGGCTTCGCTTTCAGCAGCTTCCCCCAGCTACATTGACACGCGCCGGGGAATTCTCTGGCCCTTTGGCTAATCTCTCCCAGCCCTTTCCGATCGCTCTGTCTGCACCGGCGTTCACAGTTCCTCCCTGCAACATCCCCCCAGGATGGCCCCTCGGGGCCCCCGGACGTCACTGCCTCCCCTGCAGGCCATGCCCCAGCCCTGCCCTGGCTCGTCAGACTGGGGGCAGGGAGCTCTGCGGTGGGTTTGTGACTGAGGCTGGGGCAGAGGGCCGGCATACAGGGTGAGGGCTCAGGGGTGGGGCTGAGGATGGAGGGTTTGGGGTACAGGATGTTCCAGGGAGAGAGGACACCCCCCAGCCCTCTGTCGCTGCAGCAGCTCAGGGCCAGGTGAGAGGCATCTCTCTACTGCCCCAGCAGCTCCACTGGGCACAGCTGGGACAGGTCCAAGCTAGGCTGGGTGGAGGCCAGGGAAGGGGCACCTGTCCCCTGGCCAGAGCAGCTCCGGGTCAGCTCCATCCAGGAGCCTGCGGGAAGAGGCACTTCTCCCAGCCGCAGCAGCCCCTGGCCAAGGGATCTCTCCCCGCTGCATCCCTGAGCCTCTGCACGGGGCTCAGCTTTCAGCCACGTGGCCATGCAGCTTAGGGGGGCCCAGCTCCAGCGGTAAGACGGAGGGTTAAAGACACAGTTGCCCTTTGCCGTGTGCGTCCTGTGTCCCAACATAAGCTCATAGCACAGGGCCTGGCAAAGCCTGGGAGGGCTCTGTCCACCCGCCAGCCCCCACATGCCTTGCTGAGACAAAGTGTATCCCTGGCTCCTTTCAGTGGGCACAGCAAATGCCCCGTGGTGGGCCATCGAGGCTGGGCAGTGCTAATGCCAGTCGGGCAGGGGTGCCACCCGGACAAGGCATACGTTTGGAAAATCAGCTCTAGCGACACACCTCTAACCCACAGCGCCAAGGGGACACAAACATGAACAAGGCCATCTTACCTGGCCAATCAGAACGTTTTCATGGACCCCTCCCAGGGCCTCGCTGGCAGATTTCTTGCAATTCAGTCTGCCACCTCTTCCGCCCAGCGTCACAGAAGGGGAGCACCAACGGCCTCTGAAGGATCCCCAGCGAGGAGACGCCAGCTGGCAAGGGGAGGGAATAAATGCCCCATTCTCTGGGGAAGAAGCACGACGCACAAAGCCACAGAAGACTCAGCTTGGGCTTGTTGAGCAAAGTGTCTGAAATATTTATAAAGTGGGAAACATACGGTGCAAACCAACACTGTAAAATGAAATATTTCTTACCTTAGTCCTTTGCTTCAGGCTTTTTCCCATGAAACATTAAACGCCAGCGCTCTGAGCCGGGCCTGGAGATGGTGCAGCTGCTTTTGTTAGTGGGACAAATCTACAGCGTGCGCCGCGGATCAAACCGCGCCCGTCGGGATGCGAAGAAAAGATCCTTCGCTGGGGCGCTGCTAATGCCACATTTCTGTGGACCAAACCAGTTCCGCATCTGTAGGGCCAGCGCCAGGTCACGGCCTGGGATGGCAGGCGGCTGCTGCCGGGCCTGGAGATGGTGCAGCTGCTTTTGTTAGTGGGACAAATCTACAGCGTGCGCCGCGGATCAAACCGCGCCCGTCGGGATGCGAAGAAAAGATCCTTCGCTGGGGCGCTGCTAATGCCACATTTCTGTGGACCAAACCAGTTCCGCATCTGTAGGGCCAGCGCCAGGTCACGGCCTGGGATGGCAGGCGGCTGCTTTGGCGGGTCCCTGCTTTCCACGCCCTGTTTTCAGATGTGCCGAGAAGCCACTAAACCGGCTGCTACCGTGGGAAGCCTCGGCTCGGGGGGGGGGGGGCTCTTTGATTCTAGGATTCTCTGAGCTGTTCTCCCGCCTGCGGCCCATCGTGTGCATGGAGGGGGAGTTCTGGGGCAGAGACTGCCTTTCTGCAGGGCACTATAGGTCCCTGTTACAGGGCCAGGCTTCCTAGACCACCACGGCCAATGACCTCTCCAAACCTGCCCCAGCAAGCTCCGTGCAAGTTCCCCAGCGCATCAAGCACCCTCAGCAAGTAGCCAGCTGAGATTCTGGAGCTGGGGAGATGTCTCAGGTCATAGACAAGGGACCAGAAAAGCTGGGAACAGAAGCCTTCACCCGCCTCTGCCCACTACCAAGCCTACCCTGCAGGCGGGAGTGGGGCCAAGGCCAGACACAGGGGCCGCGGTGTGCCCACATCCATCCATTTGTCAAGAGCATAACGTCTCTGGGCTCAGGCGGTGACTGAGCATCCTGGGAAGACGCTGCCCTTCCTGCCCTGGCCTCGGTCCCATGCCGGGGTGAGGGCTACAGACGGCTGCCAGCCAGCACCCGCCTCCCATGGCAGGACCCCAGGGCCCTGCGTTAGACGCACCCTGCACAACGGGTCAGGAGACACACCTACGGCATGGCCAGGGAGTCCCGGGAAGGACTCTGGATAGAGTGCCCAACTTCTGCTCCCAAGCCCTGCGAGAGGGGCCGGCAGCAGCCAGCAGCCCCAGGCCGTGCAGGACACGCTATCGTGGCATCTGATCGCTCTGCGGAGGCGGCGCTGCAAGTGTTCGGAACAGAGAGACGGGCCAGTTCATTGGA